TGAATTTCTGGGGTTTCTGGGGTGCCTGGAATGTCTAGAATTTCTGTGATTTTTGGTGTATCCGGAATTTGCTAAATTGTGTCAATTTGTGGATTTGATTGAATATTTGAAATGTCTGGAATCTTGGGAATGTATGGAATTTCTGGAATTCCTGGGTGTCTGGGTTTGTTGAATATTTTGGATTTCTTGATTTTGTTTTTGAATGTCTGGAATTTCTTGGTTTTCTGGAATTTCTGGAATTTCCAATTTGTTGTTGTTGTTGTTGATGAAATTTTTGGACTTCCAGGGGTTTGTGGCATTCGTGGCATTGCTGGAATCCTGGGTTACTGGATGTTTGGAATTTCTGGAATTTCTGGAATTGTTGGAATTGTTGGAATTTCTGCGATTTTTGGAATTGCTGGAATTCCTGGGTTTCTGGATATATATTTTTTTTGAGGGGGGGTGAAATTAGGGAATGTATGGGGTTTCTGGGTTTTGTGGAATTTCTGGAATTTCTGGAATTTCTGGATTTTTTTTTTTGGGGGGGGGGGAATTTCTTGAATTTTCTGGATTTTTAGAATTTTTTGAATTTCTGGAATTCTTGTGGAATTTCTGGAATTCCTGGGTTTCTGGAATTTCTGGAATTTTTGGAATTGCTGGAATTTCTGGGTTTCTGGATTTCTGGCATTTTTTTCGCTGTTTTTTTTTTTTTTTTTTTTGGGGGGGGGGGGGAAATACAGGGTTTTTTTTTTGATTTCTGGAATTTCTGGAATTTCTGGATTTTTTTTTGGATTTCTGAAATTTCTTGAATTTCTGGAATTCCTGTGGCATTTCTGGAATTCCTGGGTTTTTGGAATTTCTGGAGTTTCTGGAATTGGATTTCTGAAGGTCTGCCATCTTGTACTAGTCAGAAGGATACCAGAGGTTTGATAAATTCCAGAAATTCCAAAAATTACAAAAATTCAAGAAATTCCAAAAATTCCAGAAATTCCACCAGAATTCCGAAAATTCCAGAAATTCCAGAAATCCAAAAATTCCAGAAATTCCTCAGGATAGCGGCGCCGGCCGTGACCTGCAACGGAGAAAGAGACAGAGAGAGAGAGAGAGAAATAGAGAGAAAGAAAGAGAGAGAGAGAGAGAGAGAGAGAGAGAGAGAGAGAGAGAAAGAGAGAGAGAGATAGATAGAGAGAGAGAGAGAGAACAACATAACATTTGAGATATATATATAACAATAGTTACATATAGTTATATATATATATATATATATATATATATATATATATAAAGAGAGAGAGAGAGACGAGAGAGAGAGAGAGAGAGAGAGAGAGAGAGAGAGAGAGAGAGAGAGAGAGAGAGAGAGAAAGAGAGAGAGAGAGAGAAACAGAGAGAGAGAGAGAAAGGTGACAGGATGGCAGAACGAAGCGCGTTTTTATACATGAGAGGCCCCAGTCAGAGATGGCATGTTATGCTCAAGTGCGCAGGCGGAGAAACGTTACTTAATGTGCAGGGCCCGACGTGAATTTGCAAATGGGGGGTGGGTTGGTCGTTCGCTGCTCTGTGTCCGTCCATTCCGAGCCCCGTAAATATGGTCGGGTCCTTCGCCAGGCGAATTTTGCTGGTAGGGGGATGGCGTGTCCTTGGTTGTTCTGCGCATTCCGATCGTGTCAAGCCCTCCAGTCCCTCTTCCTGTACCCACCCGTGGAACGCCCGCCCGGGTGCGTGCTCGTTTCAAGTCGCACGGTAGGGGAGCGCGCTGGCATGCTGAGATCCGACCTTGTCGGGTATTCTTCGCGCCACGCGGAGGGTGGAATGTTTTCAGGGCCATCATTATTGTGTGTCTTGCTGTCATCAGTTTTCTTGTAAGTATCTGCGGCCCTGACACTCATACCTGTAAGATGGAGGTCGCGGGTGATGGGCTGAGTTCAGTTTCGGCTTGCGGTGGACGTATGAGCAAAATTGCGATCGAAATGTTCATATATATGCCTACACATATATGTGTATAACCGTTTTAACATGTATGTATCTATCTACACATATATAAATATACATATATACATATATATATGTACATATCCGTCTAGCAAGCAACCACGAATTGTGTACATGCGCGTGTATATATGTATATGTGCGTGTAGGATGTATGCGTGCACAGACACACATGTACTTATATAGACGTATTGATATCCCTGTATATCGCTCTCGCGGTTCACTCATACATCCCAGGATCCCGATGCCGATCGTGTCCATTACCGATTGGACCCACATTACATCTGTATATACATATAGGCATTGATATGTTGATCTCGCTGGTTGAACAATGGTCCACACATCGTTATACACATGCATGTATGTATGTTTTCATACATACAAGCATGCATGCATTCATGCATATATGCATGCATGAATGCATGCATGCAGGCAGGCAGGCAGACATACATACAGACAGACAGTCAGGCATACAGACAGACATTTATCCATTCGTACACACCTACATACACGCATACATGCATGCATGTATGCATGCAGTATACATTCATATATGTGTATATACAGTATATATAATATATATATATATATATATATATATATCTATATATAATATATATATATATTATATATATATATATCAAAGATGCATGCTGCGAATCGCCGCCGCCCCCTGGATTTTAGGATACGCCTCTGTGGCCAAACGTTTAGGCAAAGTTTGGCTACGCCATTTGAGCATGCGTGCCCCCAGCCGTTGTGGAAGCCCTTTGGGGAGAACGTGGGGTGGACAAGGAGGATGAGGAGAGGGAGGACCAAGTATGAGGAGAAGGATGAAGAAACCTCTTTGGAGTTTCTTGGGTCATTCCTGGGGCCTCCTGGGAGCTTCTTGAAGGCCTCTTGAAGGCCTCCTCGAGGCTTCCTTGGGCCTCTCGGGGGCCTCTGGGGGCTTCTTGGGTACCTCTTTGGCAGTCTTACGGCGTTCCTGGCCCGTCCGGCGCCTTCCGAAGCCATCTTGGGAGCCTCTCTGGGCCGTCTTTGGGCCCTCTTGGGGCGCTTCAGGGTCGTCTTAAAGGCCAATGTGGACGTCTTGGATGTCTCTTGGCCCGTCTTGGGGCCGATTGAGGACCGTCTTGGGGACCTTTAGGGCCGTCCTGGGGCCATGTTGGAGGCCTCTTGGATAATCTTGGGGCAATTTTGTGGGCCTACTGGTCCGTCTTGGACTGTCGGAAGGCCGATTTGAAACAAATTCCACAATCCGTCAAACACCTATGGAGAATCAATAATTTTGACATCTTCGGGCCTTCCCGGAGATCCTCTTGGAGGCCTCTTGGGCCGTCGTAGGGGCCTCTTGGGTGCTTCTGCTGCCGTTTTGGGTTCTGTTTGGCCATCTTGACCTGGCGGTCATGGAGGCATCTTGAGACCGTCTTGACGGCCATTTTGGGGCTATCTTGGGCTCTGTTGGGGCCATCTTGCCCGTCTTGGAGGCATCTTGGCGGCCGTCTTGGGCCATCTTGGCCGTCTTAGAGTCGACTTGCGCAATGGACTGTGGATGTTACGGAGCTTTCCGGGTGGCCCAAGTGGGACGCCCAATTGGTAGCACCAAAACCACCAAAAATTTTTGGCACGCCGTGCACTCCTGTCTTGTGGCAAGCCATTTTTGGGCGAAGGGCTCGAACCGTCGGTTCGTACTTCCTCTTTGGGGCCGTCCTTGGGGCTCTAATGGGCAGTCTTGGGGACCTCTTGGGCCGCCTTGGCGCCATCCAGAGCCGTCTGGGGGCGCTCTCGGGGGCGTCGTATGCCGTCTTGGGGCAATCTTCGTGGACTCTCTTGGGAGCCGGACAACCGGAGAGAGCTGAACTCCTTCCAAAGCTAAAGACAAGAAGCGGTCTTGGCATCTCGGGGCCCTCTTGGGGGTCCTCTTTGCAGGTCTCTTCGGGCGTCTTGGGGGCCCTTTGGCCGTCTTGGCGACATCTTGGGCGTCTTGGAGTGCTCTGTGGGTCACTCGAGGCCATCTTGGATCGTCTTGGGGGCCTCTTGGGGCTCTCTTGGCCCGTCTTGGGGCGTTCTAGACGCTGGAACATCCATGCGGCAATGCGACCGACTCCGCGAGCGCCCAGAATATTCGGAACATGTGGTCATCGTTTACACAACACACCTTCCAACTCTAGTTCACGCCACATAGCTTACGTGACAGAGCTTACATTGTTTGTCTTACACCGCATAGTTGTCACCACCATAGCTCACACCACGTGGCTTACACGACATAGCATTCACCACCTATCTTACACCGTATAGCTTTCGCCACCAGTTCGCACCGCATTGCTTATACGACATGTGCCACCCTTGTAAGTTTCCACCTCCATAGCCCACGACACATAGCTTGCACGACGTATCGTTCACCACATAGCTTACACGGCATTGCTTTCACATTCACAGTGCAATAATGCATTGTTGGAAATCGACGTTGGTTCACCTTTGCTAACACCTTTTTGAAGACTCGCAATAAGGACGAAACTTGACCTTCAAGGAAAGACACACTGGTCCGCGTTGCAGATGGAACGAGTAGACTGAGGACGGGCTCATCAGCCTCATCTTTGCGGCGAAGGCCCATTTACAGCAACGTCTATTATGGTTTTGAAGTTTTCAGCGTCCGCTGTGACGCCTTCGCTGGGGTAGAGGCAGCCTTCGGTTGGCCCGCCACGGCTTTTTTCTTCCTGCCGTTCTACACCCCATCTGTTTATCCATCTTCTTGCACCAGCACTCGGTCGAGAGCAAAGCCAAAGCCCTCTCTCTTCTCCCTGCCAATCTTCTCTTCCTCCCCCTTCTACTTCTCTCTCCTCTTCGTCGTCGTCCTCCTCCTCACTCGAATATGATATCTGACTGCCGTCTGGCTTAATCGCCGGCGCCACGGCTCCTTCTCGCTTGTGGAGAGGAGAGCGTGCTCCTGCCGTCGATGATCTCCGACGGCGCGAGAGCGTGTGATAAATAATTTCTGCGACCATGCATCATGCATCCTCCCTGAGTGCTGCTTCCGCAGCTTTCCATTTGCCTGCCAGCGTGTGGCTGGGTTGCCGTGTGAGAAGAGTGGCCATTGCAAGATATAGGTTTGGGATGTCCCACGGCCCTGACTCGTGTCGTGCGTGTTGTTTGGGATCGCACATCGTGATCGGCGCATCGATATGAATCAACGATGGATGAGGTGTTCTCCGACGTGTGGCAACATCGTTGTCAGGCATGGTTGATGCAAGTCTTGTTGATTGGATTAGTAGCGTATGCTCGCGCGAGCGTTCGCAGAGGTGGGTTCGAGGTTTTGCTTGTATTTTTCAGTTTGGCCAGCAGCTCCAAATTTTGTAGGATGGTATGTGTTGTACACAACAATCGAACAACGACCCGTAAACACATCACACATGAGAGCCATCAAACACAATATAAGCGATTGTCAACACCCCTACAACACAACTCCAACAACAGCCAACAGTCATCCCACAGGCAGCAGCACGAGCAATTACGCTACCAGTCATACCAATAACCGATAGTCCACAGCAGCAGCAACACACGATGCCGACAAACAGAGGGAGGGTGATGACGTTCAGAAGGACGAGTCATGCTGCTAATTCCGAAATGCGATGCATATCAGCAGCTGCATGGGGAACGGGCGTGGTGAGTATGAGAAACGTCACAGCTACCACCTCGTACCAAAGGGCCTTACCCTCCCCGAATGTCCCTGTCACTCTCGAGCCTGAGGCGGAGCACCGTCTGAGTTGGCCCCTCGACTGCGGCAGGAGGCAGGCTAGGTACCTTCACCTTGCCAAGGCAGGCAGGTAGTCGAGGTGGGATAATCCAGTGAGCGTCGAGGTCGTGCCAATCGCAACCCGCAGCCTTTGAAACATGGGTGGAGGGTCGCCCGCTCACTCCAGCACGTTAGAGGCTACTGTTGAGCAGGGAGCTGCGCCATTTTGGGACCACTCGCATGTGCCATCAGCATGGAAAAGGATCTGAGTCGGGACTGTCCCATCGCAACGGGGGTCCCCCACTGGCATCTCCTGCCTCGGACCCGAAGGACCGTCGAATGTGGCGGCCCGCTAGTGGACCGAAGTCTGGTCAGTGATCCTCCCGAAGGCTGGTCAGTGAGTGATCCTCAGTGATTGAAAGGAGGAGGAGGAGGGGGAGGAGGAGGAGAGGGAGAAGGAGGAGGAGGAGGCGGAGGAGGCCGAGGAGGAGGAGGAGGAGAACAACAAGGAGGAGGAGCAGGGGAGGGGGGGGGGCAGGGAGGGGAGGGAGAGGAGAGGGAGGGAAGGCGAGGGAGGGAGGGAGGGAGCGCGTGGCCTTTCCTCCTGCCTCCGCGGGGGCCAGCAGAGGGGGCTGCCGCGGGCGGGCCCCGGGCGGGCGGCAGATGGCGGCACCGCTCGGTCGGCGCGCGGCGCCGTCGGCCGCCGGGGCCGGGCTCGGGCGGCGGATGCGGCTGCCCCCGGAGGAGCCGCCCCCGCGTTGGCGAGGAGGAGGGCTGCGACGTCGAGGTCGACGGCGGGGCGGACGACGAGGGGGGGAGGGGAGGGAGGGAGGGAGGGAGGGAGGAGGGGAGGGCGGGAAGAGGGATGATGAAGGGGCATGCGGAGGGGGGGGGGGGAAGGCAGGGAGGAGCAGGATGAGGAGGGAGGGCGGAGGAGGAAGGTGGGAGGAGGGGGGGGGGCCCGGGAGGGAGGATGGGGGGAGGATGGAGGGGGAGAGACGAAGGATTGAGGTAGAAAGGGAGGAGGAGGACGAGGGAGGAAAGGGGAAAAGGGGGTAGGAGGGAGGAGGAGGAGGAGGAGGAGGACGAGGAGGAGGAGGGGGGAGAGCGACGATAGGGTACGGAGGGATCATGACGACGAGATGCTGATGAGTACGAGGACAAGTTCCAGGAGCAGGATGAGGACGAGGACGAGGAGGACGACGATGACGACGACGACCCGGAGGAGGAGGAGGAGGTGGAGGAGGAGGAGGATCGGTGCAAACCCAAGACGCAATAAACCCTTCCTCCATGTTCCCTTGTGATAGGCCGCATACAAGGATTCGTTTTCACTGAAGCAAGTGCCCCGTTGTAAAACGATCGTGTGAACGTCCTGAGCTGCGCAAAAACATTATCCCTTGGACTTCAACGCCGGGAATTTCTGCTACTGCTGTATATTTACGATCCTGAATCGTGCCAGAACATCATTACTGGGACTTCAACACCTCGACGTTCTTGTTGCGCCCTGTGAGTCCAACATCGTGCCAACACGTTGTGTCTGGGACGTTTACCATGGGAGTCTTTGACACTGCTGCGAACTCTTAAAGGTGATGTGCGCGGCGCTCAGGCGTGAGTCACATTTCGAAAAGGATGTGCCCTCCAGCCGTTGAGCTCTTGCACTCTTTGAGACGAACTTGCGCGGTGCGAAGACGAGGACCACATGTGGAAAAAGAGCCCGCCTCCGCCCGTGAAGCTCCTGCATATCTGGAGGGGGGAGGAGGAGGATGGGCAGCAGAAAGCGGGCTGGAATAACGAGGCAGAAGGTCGGAGAGCACAGCATCCCCGCACAGCAAAGACGAGCCTCTTTCCAAGGACACCTTTGCATCCCTCCCATTCGGCCGTCCTCGGCGTTTTCGTTGTTGGCCGCGCCCCCGCTCACAAAGTGCCGACATGGCCTTCCAAGGCCCTTGCATCCTTATCCCGCTTTTTTTATAGTACGGGTTATCTGTAGGAAGAGAAGGAGGGGGAGGAGAAGGGGGAGGAGGAGAGGAGGAGGAGGAGGAGGAGGAGGAGGAGGAGGAGGAGGAGGAGGAGGAGGAGGAGGAGGAGCAGGTCGGGCAGAGGACGAGGAGGATGACGACCCCAGGTGAAGTCGCAGCGGCGTGTGTGTTCGGATGGTTTCTTTTCTTGACCCCCCCCCATTCCCTTGACCCAATCCGTCGTCCAGTCTTCCTCGTCTTCCTGATCCACCTCTCTTCCTTGTCTCCCTCGTCTTCCTCGTCTTCCTCGTCTTCCTTGTCCCGCCTCATCCGCTCTTCTCTCCCTCGTGCTCCCCTCCCTGCTCGTGTTCCTCGGGCTCATCCGATCAGCCGAGCCCTGCCCTGTCCTGCGATGGCTGTCGGGCACGTCCGTCTACGGGAGGAATAGTCAAAGATAGTCTGGGGACCACTCTTTGATTCTTAGGCTTACGCCACACCGCCGACCCCTTGTTTATGCCAATCTGGGGGTAGTAGAAGCTGCGAAGGGGTGAAAAGGCGAGTGATATTTGTTTGGTGTCTGTTCGCCGCCACCGCCAGAGGGTCTCGGGCAGTTCCGCGGGGGGGTCCGAGCGGACGGCGACACCGCGGGCGGTCGTGGTCTCATCTGGGGCCATCTGAGAGGCATAATGGAGCCAGGTTGGGCTCGGGAATGTCTTCGAGCCGTTTCGGTAGCGGTCGGGAGTTTTTTTGGGGGACTGCCCAGGAGTCATGATGGGTCAACTTGGCCATGTGCGAGGCCACGGCGCGTGCAAAGGGTGTGCCGGCATGGGGCCTATGGCAGGCAGTTTGGAACCACTTGGGGGCCCAGGTGGAGGAAAAGGAGGAGGAGGAGAAGGGGGACACGGAGAAACGGCTCTGGGTTATGGGTTATGGGTGAGAGGCTTCTTGTATGTGTATCGGGATCTCGCGGATCGCTTCTCGGGGGCCTCTGGAAGCGAGTTTTGGAGCCACTTGGGGGCCGTTTCGGAGCCTCTGGGGTGCTTCTTGGGGGTTCCTTGGGGCGTCTGGGCGGCCTCGTGAGGGCCTCTGGGGGCCTCTTGGGGCACTCTTGGGGCCCCCTGGGGCTCCTGGGGGCAGAAAGCTAGAGTTTCAACATGTTTGGTCGCCCTCTTGGGCCCCTCTTGGTGCCGTCTTGGAGCCCTCTTGGGCCGTCTTGGGGACCTCTTGGGCCGTGTTGGGGCCGTCTTGGGCCGTCTGGAGGCCGTCTTGGGGGCCTCTTGGGCCATCTTGGGGCTGTCTTTGGGGCCTCTTTGGCCGTCTTGGAGCGTCGGGAAGCCGAAAAGGCGGAAAAGCAAAAAACATCGAAAAACACTATGGAAAATCAACAATTTTAGACTCTTGGGGCCCTCTTGGGAGGCTTGTTTGGGACCTCGGGGGCCGTCTTGGAGACCTCTTGGCCCGTCTTGGGGCCATCTTGGGCGTCTTGGAGCGGTCGTTTGGCGTCTCGGGGCCTTCGTGGGCCGTCTTGGAGGCCTCTTGGGGGCTTCTTGGCCCGTCTTGAGGCCCTCTTGGGCCCGGAAAAGCCCCGTGAACCGCTCGTCCCGGCCGTGCTGCGCTCGTCCCGGCCGTGCTGCGCTCGTCCCGGACCCCCCCCGCTCGTCCCGGACCCCCCCCCCCCCCCGAATCGACCGGACCGGGCTCCCGGGGGAGGGGTTTGGGGAGGGGGAAGCATCTCACACGCCGATGATCCCCAAGGGGTCGGCGGATATTTGTCTAGGGATTTCTTGAATATGTTTGACAATTGTTATATTTTCTTTCTGATATCTGCCTGTAAGAGGACACGCCGTACCTAGAATAAGCAGTGCCTCGTCGTTCCTCCTTAAGTACCCCCTTCCTCTCTTCCATATTTTGCTCCGCTTCCCGCGCGGGGTCCGCTATGAGTCTAGCTCGATCTGATGTCTCGCTCACAACACTTAGATGTAGATTTCTCACTTCAACACGCATTCTCTCAAGCTCTGCAGCAAGACGCCATGAAGTAGGCCTACTCATCTCCAGTAGCAGCGGCGTCAGCAGAGAAAAGGCAAAAACAAGACGGTGGTGGGAGTCGAATGGGAGGAGCGGTGGCGGGGCGGAGGACACGGGAGGTGGTCGACGGTAACAGGGTTGGAATGGGGAGGAGGAAGTTGAGGAGGTGGAGGAGGAGGAGGAGGAGGAAGTGAAAGAGGAGAAGGATAATGAGAAGGACGACGACACCGATGACAACCCTGACGAGGTCGAGACGCGCACGGAGGAGGAGGAGGAGGAGGAGGAGGAGGAGGAGGAGGAGGAAAGGAGGAGGAGGAGGAGGAGGAGGAGGAGGAGGAGGAGAGAGGAGGAGGGAGAGGAGGAGAGGAGAGGAGAGGAGGACGGGAGGAGGAGGAACGGAGGAGGAGGAGGAGGGGAGGAGGAGGAGGAGGGGAGGAGGAGAGGAGGAGGACGGGACGGAGGAGGAGGACAGAGGAGGAGGACGGCCGGGTCGGGTGGACGGGCTCCCGAGTCCGCCCGGGCCGGCGCGCCGGCCGCTGCACGAGCCCAGCCGTGCGGTCGGAGGGCCGCGCGCCGGAAGGAAACAGGCGGGCCGGCGGGCAGCGCAGGGGCGCCGCGGCGCGGCCCCCGCGGGCCCCCACGGGCCCCTCGGGCCCCCACGGGCCCCCCCTTGGGAGGAGGAGCGAGGAGGAGCGAGGAGGAGCGAGGAGGAGCGATAAGGAGCGAGGAGGAGCGAGGAGGAGGAGGAGGAGGAGGAGGAGGAGGAGGAGGAGGAGGAGGAGGAGGAGGAGGAGGAGGGGAGGAGGGAGGAGGAGGAGGAGGAGGAGGAGGAGGAGGGGAGGAGGAGGAGGATTGGAGGAGGAGGAGGAGGAGGAGGAGGAGGGAGGAGGAGGAGGAGGAGGAGGAGGAGGAGGAGGACAAGGAGGGAGGAGGATGAGGAAAACGAACACGAGGAGGAGGAGGAACAGTGACAGGAAGATGAAGAGGAGGATGAGGAGGAGTACGAGGATAAGGAGGAGAAGGATGAGGAAATCGAGAATGATGATGATGATGATGATGATGATGATGATGATGATGATGATGATGATGATGATGATGATGATGATGATGATGGTGATGGTGATGCTGATGCTGATGCTGATGCTGATGCTGATGATGATGATGATGATGATGATGATGATGATGATGATGCTGATGATGCTGATGCTGATGATGATGCTGATGCTGTGGCTGATGCTGATGCTGATGATGTGATGAATGATGTGTGATTATGATGATGTGTGTGATGATGATGATGATGATGATGATGATGATGATGATGATGATGATGAGGAGGAGGAGGAGGAGGAGGAGGAGGAGGAGGAGGAGGAGGAGGCGGAGGAGGAGGAGGAGAAGGCGGAGGAAAAGGAGGGGGACGAGAGGGATGAAGAGGAGGAGTGTTTCCCACCACCCGCGGGACGGAGGGCAGCCTGAGCTCGCTGTGCGCAAGGCGTCGGACGGCGCCGTGCGACACGTTCGTCAACATCGGCGAGCAATATCTCGAAACCAGTGGAAACTAAGGCATATTGTTGGGGCGCGCATCAAGAAACCACATGCTTTTCGTCAGGGTATCCTGGGTTTCTTCGCTCCGCGCGCTGCGCGGCGACTTCCCGCGGCTGTTGAAGGAGCTGCTGCGTTCAGGGTGCTCCGGGTTTCCCCCCAGGTGCACGTCGCGCACGGGTTCTCAGGGTTGTGTTTCTTGTGAGGGTTTCTTGCGGCCGCGCCCGCACTGTACCGCGACCACAATATCAACCACGCGCTGTTGAACCACAGTGCTGCGACACCTGCCCACTGCGGTGGAGACCTAAGGGCAAGGATGCTGGAACCATACGCCAGTAGAGGTACATGGGCGCGAACAGACGCAGCCCCCAAACAGAGTGGAGGACAACGTCTGGCAGAGGATACCGCCTCGGCCCAGCGAAATGATTGTCATTACCACGAATGCCTTCGCGGAAACGTCCAAACAGGATATGCACAACAGGCAATCCAAATACGGTAGTGAGCTGCGGGCCAGGCAGCCTGAAGGACGAGCACCACCACCTTTACGACGTCAATTACGCCGCCAAAACCGGCACCAGGACCGACACGACCGAGCAACCCGAGATTGGTTGCGAAATACGTCGTCGTGGAAGTACCGGTGGACGTACGCTACTCTACGCTACGCCTTGCCGAACAAGTCGGCCCTGTGCAAGGTTCGGGGATTGACATACAGAAAAGGAAGGAAGAAATTGTCAGAGCTGCAATTCGTCGTGCCAGCGATGTCGTGGACGGCCTCTCGCACCACGAGCACGACTACGTTATTTTTTCGATACGACCTGTATTCCTACGACCCTCATAATTACGACGGGCCGCGGAGCCACGACAGCCGCCAGGATTACAGGGACACCCAGCACGGGTAACTCTACGGCTTGGCAGTCGACGACTCTGACTCGGACCCCGGGGACCACGCAGGGAGCGCGCCCTCTGAACTGCTATAGCCACCGGCAGAGCTACCGGGGCCACCAGACGAGCTCTGGGGACCGCAATCTGAACCGCAAGTTGAACTACGAGGGCCACGCGCGCAGCCACGAGAGCCACCTGATGAGCTTCAAGGCCCACCTGCCGAACTGCGGGAGCCACCAGCAGAGCCACGAGAGCCGTAAGCTGAGCTACGAGGGCCGAGGGCTGAGCTACGAGAAGCGGGGCTGCGGGGGCCGCCTGGAAAGCGACTTGGACTTGGGCCACCACCTGATCATCGGGGGCAACGAGCAGAGCGACTACCGCGTCCAGCAGAGCTCCCAGGGCCACCAGCGGCGTTTTGACGGCGATCTGTCGAGCTACAACGACCATGCGCACAGCTACGGGAACCACCAAAGGAGCTTCAAGACCCCCCTGTCGAGCTACGAGGGCCACCCGCAGAGCCACAAGAGCTACAAAACGAGACGCGATGGCTGCCAGGTGAGCTACGAAGACGACAAGCAAGACAACGAGGACCACCAGCTGAACAACGAGTGCCATATGTTGCGCTACGTGGACCGCCAGCTGAGCTACGAGGGCCGCCAGCCGAGACACGAGAGGCAAAGGCTGTGTTCTACGAGGGCAACAAGCAAGATTACCCGGGCCACCAGCGGACCTGCAAGGCCCACAAGTTCAGCTACGAGGACCACAGGCGCAGCTAATACAGCCACCCGAGGAGCTACCAGGGCCCCTGGCAGACATCCGCGGACCACGAGCTGACCTACGAGGCCCAGAAACACAGTTACGAGAGACACTGGCAGAGCCACGAGGATTGCGACGCAGGCTGCGAGGACCAAGGCGCAGCAACGAGAGCTACGGGGACCACCTGGGCCACGAGGGCCACAACAAGAGCCACGCGGACTTCAGGAACAACTACCATAAGTTGCAGGTTTACCACGGCGACGAGCTGAGCTGAAAGTGCCAGCAGCAGAAAGCCGAGAGCCAACAGCTCAGCATCTGCGCAGCAAAGAGGACCACAATTTAAGCTTGAGCTACGCGGGCCTCGTGCAGAACCACGGGAGCCTTCCGCAGTGCTGCCGGGGATACGGGCTGAACTGCAAGGGCCACGAGCAGGCCTCCGAGGACCACCAACACAGCAACGAATACCACCTGCTGAGCTACTTGCCAACGGGCTGAGCAACGACCGCCGCGAGCAGAGCCAACGACGGAGCTACGAGGACCACCTCAGGGGCGACGAGGGCCACCCCGTGAGCTACAAGAGCCGCCGGCCGAACTACAACAACAAACCGAAGTAGCTCAACGCCCAAGACCACAAGCTGAGTTACGAGGCCAAGAGGCACACCTATGGGAGCCAACGACAAAGCTACGAGGATTGCGGTCTGAGCGACGAGGACCACAGGCACAGGTACGAGAGACACCAGAAGAACATCTAGGACCCCCTGCTGAGCTGTTTCGAAAGCCACGAATCTGAGGTACGGGAGGGCGTCCGCGTACTTTTTGCGGGTCTCGAAGCTAGAACGGCCGAAAGGTGATCCTGTGTCCTGTGTCCTTTTGACCCGCAGGCCGAGCGATCTGCCGACCGAAGTGAAGCAGCCCAGTTTCGCGTCAGAACAATCTGGATATGTCCGGCAGGTGCTGTAAGTATAGGCTCCAGATGTGCCAGGATCGGGCCCGTCTTTGCGCGATTATTACATGCTGCAAAACGATTGCGTGTTCGAGCGCTTGTGCGGCACCGCGTCCGCGGATGACCCGCCTGGGGCTACCCAGCTTCTCCTCGACATGTTCCCCGACGAAAGCTTGTTCGACCCACTCTACGATCGTATCTCGCAGTGACACGTGGGACTGGCTCACCAGAAGCCGTTCACTATGGCACTCCAGCATCGTATCCTTGTTTCGCGCTGATTGTAGTACTTGCTTTGCAGCTTTTCGGAGCTGGGTGTTACGTTCATGTGCCACGCCCGCAGCTCTACACGCAATGTATTTCGTATACGATGTTACCGCCCAGGTATTACGTCGACGACAAGTACATGTGTGGCATCACTTGAGTGGTCCCGCCGCTCACCCCATCCCCCTTCCTCGGTCACCCCCCCTTCCCCGCTCCCATCTTCGGACATGGGCCCCCCCGGTGGGCCGGGGGGGCCCCTGCCCTCGCCCGCGGCGCGCGCGCGGCAGGGCGGCGGCGCAAACTGGGAAAAGCTATTGGTGCTGCGCAGGCAAGTAACTCAGGGGAGGGGGGGCGTTCGAAACGAAAGCTGCAGTGAGGCATTCATGATGGGAAACGGGGGAGAAGAGAGGGGAGGGCGGAGGAACGAGGGAGGAGGTAGAAGAGTCGGAGGTTTGATGGCCCGGGAGGAGGATGAGCATTCGATAACCCTTTCACAACCCTAGAGTTCCCAAGGCCTCCCCACCGACCAACCACCAAGCTAAGTCCTTCACTCCGTCGTCTCCCTTCCTCCTCCTTCTCCTTCTCCTCCCCCGCCTCCTTCTCCCCCTCCTCCTCCTCCTCCTCCTCCTCTTCCTCCTCCTCTCCGTTGCCACGACCGCGCTCCTTCGGCGGGCCGATCCTCCTCCTCCTCTCCTCCCCCTCCTTGATCTCCTCCTCCTCCTCCTCCTCCTCCTCCTGCTGCTCTTCCTCCTCTGCCTTCTCCTCCTCCTCCTCCTCCTCCTCCTCCTCTCCTCCTCCTCCTCCTCCTCCTCCTCTCCCTCCCCCCCTCCGTCCCCCCCCCCCCGAAGGAGGAGGGACACGGTGTCTGGGAGCAGAGGGGGCCGTCGGCACCCGGAGGCCGCGGGCGCGCCGCGCGGCCTGTGCCGCGTGGCGCCGCGGAGGCTCGCCGCGGGGCGCCTCCCGCTGGCCCCTGCGAGCTGCCCCCTGGCGGATCGGGAGAGGCGGAGGCGCAGTCGTCACGGACCGGGCTGGTCGGTGGATCGGGGGCCGGGATCGGGGGACCGTGTGCGGCACAGGGGCTCGGGGGGGCATCAGGAGGAGGAGGAAAAGCGGAGGAGGGGGGAGGTGGACGAGGAGGAGGAGGAGGAGGAGGAGGAGGAGGAGGAGGAGGAGGAGGAGGAGGAGGAGGAGGTTCGTTGCCGTTTTGGCTCCAGGTAAAACCTTGTGAAGTGCTATAGACGCCCGAGAATCAGCCACTAGCCTTGGCCCGTCCTTAGCCTTTCTCGACCACTGGAGGCCGACAGGCGGCCTACGTTTCGCATCGTTCTTCGGTCGCCTCGCGCGAGAGCCAGTCACGCCCGAGGGCCGCCAGCGCTCTCGGTCCCCGCTTCGCTGGGTGTCTATGCTGGTCCTGGTGGGGCTCAGGATTTGCTTGGTGCCAAGGCTGACTTCTCCACGTCCCCGACCGTGGGGCCGATGCTTCCCAGCTTGCAGGCCATCGAACGAGCACCAAAGCTTCAGGGAACAGGTGCTGGTGCCGACCCTCGTCGTCCACAGCTTCCGCCTGCAGACCAGGAGCTCAAGGCATACGTGGATTCCACAGCAAATGAATTTCTTCCGTCAGTTTCGCAGTTGGCTTCAACGGTCACCCAGAGCTGTGCGATGCTTGGCCGCCGGGTGGACGCGCGCACAGCGACAGTCGAGTGCATCCAGCGCGAGCAAACCGAGCTCATCCAGGGTCTGGACAAAAACATTTCGGAACGTCAAGCTTAGTGAGGCACTCAGCGGACCGAGGTCCCCAGCAAGGCTGACAGCAACACCGCCTTCGCCAGGCAGACAGATCCCACGGTCATCATTTGTCGGTACAGAGCGATTGTATCTCGTCCTTTTCTCATCACGGGCTTGGAGTCGTGGCTCCCGGACGCCAGCATCCAGACATCTGACTACGACCTCGCCGGAGAGCCGCCCAGCAATCATTTCACGGTGCTGTTCAAGGGCTCGCAAGGACACGCTGCCAGGAGTGTCGAGATGTCGCTGATGCAGCTCAGCACTGGTCCCCAAACTTGGCGCCGCTTCACCGCGCTCGTCGCTTTGAACACAGCCCACGATGTGAACGTTTCGGAGGGAAAATCGATGTACCACGTCAAAGTTAATGGATCGCTCAAACATGTTTGCGTGGAGTGGGCACTTCCGAATTTTCAGAAGTACGACTTCGACAAGGACAGGATCGCCGAGGCGATCAAAGGCCACCTCACGAACGAGCAGAGCGCCGATTGGCTCTTTGATTTCTTCTCGGCAGTGGCATGGTTGCCTGCCGGCTTCAACGGGCCTGTGCTTCTCGACGAAGAATGTGAGATCGTTATTCCATCATGCTCTTCCGGTGCGGGACGGCAAGTTGCGCCGCTTCCCTCTCCCAGTTCTGGAAGAAGGGCAACGTAGTTTTGGTCCAAGAGACCCGCGGTGACAGGACTCTCGTCGCCGATTCACTGCACCACTCTCATCTTCCTAAACTCGCCTTCTCGCCTTTTCGAAGCCTCTGCACCAAGATATCCCGCAGGAGGCGCAGTCGCCTTCGTTCCTGATTTTCGGGCTCTGCACCGCCCGCGGCCTCCACGTGTTTCGGCTGGAGCTCCGGTGGAGGGGCGGGCCCTGCGCGCCGAGTTTTTGTTTTTTTTGTTCGGGGAGGTTTTCCCCGATCCACTGCAACGTTTAACATTTCGGGGTTGATGTGCGGACTCGAAACGGGATTCTCGGCGAGATCCAGGGGGGCCATCGTGGTGCCGAATCGGATCCACTTCGAAAACTCATCGTCGACCGCGGACTCCAACCCCGCGAGCTCCCAGCCCATCCTCCTCGACAAGTACACCCTCTCGGAACCCCCCGAGCAGCGCCCCTCCTCCGACCTCCCCCAGCAGTGCACTGATGGCTACTCCCAGAACTCCAGGAGGACCTCGGATAAGTTTTGGGGCCAGACCCTGCCGCGGCTGGTTGATCTGGCGAGCGACGATTTCACGCGCTATCATGCTGGAGCCGGGGCCCCTGCGAGGATGGATCGGGCGTTCGTCTCGCGGCCGGGCCGTTGCCCGACGCAACTCTGCGCTGCCGCCCGCGCGCGCGGATGGCCTGGAGTTGTCTCTCGCGCCTCTCTCTCCGACCATTCTGCCATGGCGATCAGCGTCTCCTCCCGGCGTCCCCTTTCTCCAGAAGATGGGAGCGCGCGGCCAGATTTGTTTGCCGCGCCCGAGTGTTATGGTTTTATCTCTCGATCGCTGCAGCAGTCCGACGCGGAGCGCTCGTCGGCGCCGAGAGGCTAGATTTGCGTAAAGTGGCCATGAAGGAGGCAGCAGATACGCCAGGGGTCTCATCATTATCAAGCTAGGGTTTCGTAAAATTGCCATGAAGGAGGCAGCAGATACAGCGGGGGCTCTATCATTATCAAACGTCCGCTCGACGCTTCGTCGCGTTTCGTGGTTTGCAGATCGATCGCTCGCGCCGTTCGGAACTGGGGCAGGGGCCTCGCTGGGAAAGAGACTGCGCCGAGCCCGCAGCCTCGCCAGGGGCCGCATCGAGCTGCCGCCTCTCTCGCCCGGGGTTGCGCTGAAGGATCCGATTCGGTTCACTCCGCAGACGAATGAAACAACTCGCGCATGGATGCTATGGCCCTGAAGCGCCCGCAGAGCCAGATCAGAATATTTGCCCCCGCCCGTGTTCGAGCGAACCTTCTCCGGAAACTCCGTTGACTTGAACGCCGCGGCAATATCTGGGCCGCTTTTCGGCGGGCAGATGGGCCCTGCCGGCCTCTCCGCCCCCGGCGGCTGCATTGCCGCGGGCCCGAGGCAATATCTTTCGGACCTGGATTTTGCACCGGGGCAGCGTCTTCGCCGAGAAGCCCGCAGACGAGGGGCCGCCAAAACGTGCGTCCAGAAATTCATGTCCGACACCTCCCATGCCCTTCTTAGACCCCCCGCGGAGCTCGACATCAGGATGGGGGCACCTCGAACTTTGCCCCCCGAGCGCTCCTGGACCAGACGGACTTCCATGCAGAGCGTGGCAACATCACCCCTCGGGCCCCGAAGTGCTCTCCGAGGTCATGCAAGTGGGCCCTCCAGGGCTTCTCCATGAGGTTGAGTTCTAGTGACGTGCGAGGCGTCTTCCTCGCTAGAGGCGACGAGCCCGCCGATGCTCACCACCCACCAAACCACCCCAACCCAACCCGAAGGCTCAAATTTACCCTCGATTTCCAGTGGGGGGGGGTCGGGAAACGTCGAAAAAACACGCGTGGAACCCTTACCCCCCCCAACCCGAAATTCGGGTCTTCGGGTTGGGTTGGGGTGGTCTGGTAGGTAGTCAGATGCTGCCGGCCCCGTGCGTTCCGCGTCTGCTGCGAGACCGCTTGGTTTGAAGATTGCAGATTGCTCGGTGGCAGCCGCAGTGTGAGCCCGCAGCCCCACGCAGGAATTCCTCGAATGCATCGATCCTATCTGCAGAGGCTTCATCCCAAAACGGAGCCTAGGCTTGAACATCATCGAATTGGATGCCTATGCCCGTGAAACAGGACGGACTGGAACCATGTGGTTATGAGTGCCCCCCCTCTGCCTTGGATTCGCTTTTGACCGAGCGTCCCCCTCCGTTTCCCAGTCGTGGATCTTCCGTGTCCTCGAAGCTTGTGCCCTCCCTCCCCTTTTTCTGCTCTTCTGCCGTCTCATCCACTCTTTTGTTGGCTGCTATGGCCAGGCTGGCTGCGAGCTCCTCCCGCTTTTCGCGAGTGATTCTGGGGCCGCCCAGGGCTGACCCGCTTCTGCCGCCCTCTACGCCCTCTCCTTTTCAGCCTTTCAATGCCCACTTCCGTCAAATCATCGTCCGTCGCAAGCGCGACTCAGTTCGATGTTGCGCCGACGATGTTGGCAGCGTGCCAAGGGGCGTCAACTGGTTTCGTAACCTGCGCGCTGTCTTCAAGGCAGCCCGTCACACAGCCGACCTTCACCTCGAGGTTTCACAATGTTTCGCCGCCCCCCTTTCGGACCAGTTTTGTGCGGCGTAGGAAGCCGGGGTCCGAGATCGGATCCGCGAGCTGGCCCCCGAGTGGCTTGATTTTCACGTTGCGCTTGCCTTGCAGTGACTCGGGGCTTTCCCCGGACCCGCTGTAGTTGAACAGATATTGGAATTGAGCACCTAGGTGAGTATTTCACCCGCACAGCCCATAGGTAAGTATTTCACCTGCACTAGCGCCATCGCCCACGCTGGGCCTTCGCCAGCTGTTGCCGCCAAGCTCTATGACCAACGTTCGCTGTCCTCGCCCGGTTCCGTCTCGCATGCCGTTTTTCTTCCTGGTTGCGCCCTTCGGAAACATCGTGCGGCGCTGGCCGGCCTCCTCGTGATTGTGCGCTGTGACCTCGCGAGAGCAGATATGATTGGGGGCGTCCCAAGCTACATTCTCTGCTTGTATTCACCCTGGCCATGTTAATGCGTTCAGTCCTGAAGACCCCCCCAGTTTGGAGCGCGACCCGCGCGCAATTGCAAGAGTGTGCCGAGCAGCATTTGCCTGTGGTCGAGCGGGTGACTGGTAACATCTCCCACTCTTTCTGGGTTTCTGAGCCCTCGCCTCCTTCCTCAAAATTTCCGCCGAAGTTTTTTCTTCTCGCGACGCCTGGGCCCACGCGGGCTCTCGTGCGCTCGTTGTTGCAAACGAGGCCCTCGCTGATACTGCGCAACAGCACCGCGTGCAGAAGCTCCTCGCTGCTGGGCTGCAGATCTCGTTTCCCCCTTTTAACCTTGCCTAGACGTTCGAGGAAATATGGAAGAGTTACTTTCCAGATTGCGCGGGTTAGATTCGCGCAGCCGGCCGGGCGAACGTGCAACAAGTGGTTATTTCACCGTCGTGGTCGTCCGCGGCGGTGGAAACCTTGGGCGGCGGATCGCCGACGAGGGCGCGCCCCCGCGA